CTTGCTCTTGTAGCTGATCTTCTGAGATGTAGTGCTTGTGATGGTATTTGATCTTGCGGCATTCTAACAAGATGGCTAAACCACTTGATCTGCTGTTTCTCGATTAATCTAGTACAAGATGTCATTCCCACAATGTGCCTGATAGTTTCATTATTCACTCGATCTCGGATGGTTAGGTTAGCTGCTTTTTTTTTTTAGGCACCTCATCTCGCAGGTGGTGATTTTGCGTATATGGGCTTTAGATAGTGTCCATGTTTGGCAATGGTAGCTTAATGTTGGAATGAATATGCTAGTAATAATATGTCTCTTTACACTCATAGTTATGCTCGGATGTCTTAATAATGGTGTCTATTGTAAACCGTAGTAATGAATATTAAAATTCCCCATGTGGGTTCCAGGGCTCTATTGTGGGGAAAACAAGAATAGACCCACATGTCGTAAGAGTCGACAAATTGGGTGCTTCCTTCAGCCGGAGCGCATCTGCCTAAGAAGCAAGGGACCAATAGTCTGCATATAAATAAGCAAGATCTTTAAACCGGATGCACACGCAAAACTCAGGTCCTGTGGCAAAGCCACAGTGCAGAAATGGGCGAAAAACCAGGTCTTTCGCCAGGGTTGACAGCCGGTGAACACAAACAACAACACATAACGATACTGACAGGTGGAGAAGCAGCAACAACGTACATTATTAACATAAAGAACATATGTTATGGTGTGATCCTACTTGCAAATCCTACGAGCCACGCATCCGGAAACTCTTGGGTTACAGGGTGTGAAATGCATGATGGAATGCACAATGGAGGGGGTGTGGAGTTCACAGTGAATGAGAATCTTGGAAATGACATTTTCTGTGTTATTACATTTATCCTCTAGGGTTGGGTTTTCCAGTACTGCGGACAAACTAAAACCAGAACCCGGACGTATACATTTCGGCGTACGTATGTAACGTCATTTTAGTGACTGCACTTGGCTTTCTTTTCGGAGTACTCCGCTGTACTTTGCCATTTGGGGATTCTCGAGTTGTTCCCCTTGAAAACTCAAAGGAGGGATAAAGTTCTTTCGGTTTTTAATGTTGTTTTACGCATGCAACCATTATGTTTGAGAACCCTCTGTAATGATTCATATTATTAACAATACATTCAGAGTACATAAAATAACATACAATATCGATGTGACTTCCTTTTCTTCTTATTATTATTATATTGTTTTCCCTCCTTCTTCTTGTCTTTCTTCTTCTTCTTCTTCTTCTTCTTCTTCTTATTATTATTATTATTATTATTGTTATTATTATTATTATTATTATTATTATTATTATTATTATTATTATTATCCTTCTCCTCCTCCTTCTTCTTCTTCTTCTTCGTCTTCTTCTTCTTCTTCTTCTTCGTCTTCTTCTTCTTCTTCTTCTTCTTCTTCTTCTTCTTCTTCTTCTTCTTCGTCTTCGTCTTCGTCTTCGTCTTCGTCTTCTTCGTCTTCGTCTTCGTCTTCGTCTTCTTCGTCTTCGTCTTCGTCTTCTTCGTCTTCTTCGTCTTCGTCTTCTTCTTCTTCGTCTTCGTCTTCTTCTCCTTCTTCTTCTTCTTCTTCTTCTTCGTCTTCTTCTTCTTCTTCTTCTTCTTCTTCTTCTTCTTCCTCTTCTTCTTCTTCTTCTTATTCTTCTTATTCTTCTTCCTCTTCTTCTGCTGCTGCTGCTGCTGCTGACATTTGGTCTTGGCATTGATCATCTTCACCCAGTAAATGACGGTCCCCGTATGCTGATGCTGCTTCTTGAATGTCCAATGACGATCTCTATTGCATGTTCTGTTCAATGGGTTTTCTACATAATATAATGCTTTTTCTTGATATCACATTGTGTACTTTTCTTCCATATCCAGCGAGTTCTTTTGTGGCGGCCACAGCTGTCGTTCATATTTAACAGGGCTATTTAACAGGCGGCCCGCTGGCCAAATCTGGACAGTAAAGGTCTAACAAGTGGCCCGCGGATCACCTTCCTGTTGTATAGTTTTAATGCTTTTTCTACGCTGGAACTGGCCCGTGACGATCCCCATTTTCCGAATGCTGGCCCCTGTGTAAATTTAGTTCAATGGCACTGTTAAAGGGTATTCGACTTCGTTCCTGGTAAGGATTAGTTCCTACAAGAACATATTTGGGGAAAGGGGGGTAGGTCCCCTGATTCTGTACAGCCAGACCATTTGATATCCAACTACTTAAAAGATTTAGGCTAGTCTACGTCAGAGGGGTGTCATGTTGTCTTGTCTCTAATTACATCAGCGCCGATGTCGCGTGTTCTATACTACACGACGACGCGGCTTTTAACGACCCCAGAACATCTAGAACTGACCCTAACCCAAATCCCCCTACCCATAGCCTTACCCTAGCTCCCACGAGATAGTCATTTCAAAGAAAACAGTTCAAAGTGACACCCCCATGACGTAGACCAGCCTGGGCAAGCATGAATGTGGGGTCAACCAGTGTGTAGTTGGGCCAGACTCCGTAAAGAGGATCGGGAAATCACGCAGGTACCAATCATGGAAGTCCATTCAACTATATGGCAACAAAATAGTAGCCGTTATGGTACGTAGTAACGTGACGTTCGAACGGCGTGACGTTCGGATGAGTGAGTGACATTCAACCCTACCAGGACCGCACAACGGGCGATAAAACACCCTTGACACAAAATGCTACTATTCCTATTCAGATGAGAATCACCCGGGTTCAAATACCACAGACCCCGATCAGCAGTTGTGGGGGTTTTGAAATAATAAAATAATTGTGTCCTATGTTTGGGGCGAGGAAGTTCGAATGAAACTGAAACTGATAATAATTCGTTGGGTTTCGCTCACAAGTACGGTTTACAATATAAACACTTCATAATTTTGACATCAAAAATTGCCTTGTTATCTGTAAAGCATAAATGCCCAAAATCTGATCTTGGTGGCATATCAAGAAATGGCGCAGAAATAAACGATTTTTTTTTTAAAAATTGCATTGTGTACTCCTGTATTACAAAACGCCCTCTGAAACAAATCAAGTATTTCAAATACTTAGGACGCATAATATCATCAGCTAGCAAAACAGAAGATGAGATTGACGACAGATGTAACAAAGCAGACGAATTCATTGGGCAGATGGCACCAATGCTAAAAAAAAAAAAAAAATCATGTATTAGTTGGGGCCACAAGAGCACTCTATGACAGTCTTCTTGCCAGTCTTGTTTATCAGTTCCACAACTGGACAGTGACAGAAAACGATAAAAGAAAAATTACGGCAAGTGAAATAGAGATATCTAGAGGGCTCTCTACGAGAAATGGAAACGGAGGGAAGGGGGGGGGGTAGCAGCAGTACTGGATTTCATTAAAAGGTAACAGGTTAAATGGTTTGGCCATATAACGCGGATGTCAGCAGACAGTATACCACAGAAAGCAGTGATGTACAGTCCGGGGAAGCGAAGAAGAGGTCGACCATGCAAGCTATGGACAGAGGAAATTACAGTCCATGGGAATCCCAATTTACGAAGACCACAAAGGACTTCTTTCTCGTAAATCATACTTCACCTTGTCATTGCAAGGTACAACAGCAACAGAGTGGAGTGAGATGGCTTGTGTTTTCGTTTACAAAATTTGTATGGATATATTCTCTTTATTTATATTTATGTGTGTGTGTCTGTGTGTGTGTGTTTATATATATACATATATATTTGTGTACATGTGTGTATACACATACATACACCGACATATATGTATATATCTGTGTATATATATATATATATATATATCTGGATACTAGACTGACATCAGACGATTTTCTGGAAAGGAAGAACATGGGTCTGTATTACATTGGTTAGCAACATTTTTTTGATTTGTTATTAAGACGTTTTGAAAATCAGTTTCTATGGATAATCTCCTTAGGCCTACATCACCCTAGGATTATGTATTACACAGTTAATGGTGTTTACAAGTGATGTAACTTAGCAAGGGGGTGGAAAGTAAGGGAATGTACAGTAAAAAATATCTGGGCTATCCTCCGAATAACGGGCACAAAAGATGGAGGCCGAGGGTATCCCCAAGCCGCTGACGCGGCGGGGATTGGGGCTAAACTAGATATCTTGGACTCACGAGCAAAGCTGCAGGAGATTTTAGAAGCTGCTGCTCGTGAGTCATAGCCATCTAGTTTAGCCCCAATCCACGCCGCGTGAGCGGCGTTTGGGATACACTCGGCGGTGACGGTAGTCGGGGGAAAACCGCAAATTAGGTGGCCGGGAGGGCACAATTGACACGTGACTGAGGCTCTGTTAGGTTTTTTGTGGACGCCATCTTTTGTCCTTGAGAAAGAGAATTGGGGCTTTTGGGATGAAATGCCATAGAAAGATTCTCAGAATATCTTGGACAAAGAAGATGAGAAATATTGACCTCTTAAAAGATCTGAACATCAAGAAAGATTGGCTAAAAAACACCATCCTTTCTAGAAAGCTGAAATATTTTGGTCATATCAAGCGCCACGACGAATTGGAAAAAATTATAGCAGAAGGAATGGTACCAGGAAGGAGCGGCAGGGGCCGACCGACACGAAGATGGGCACAGGATATAAGTGACTCCTTGAGTTCATGAGGCGGGAGAACTGGCAAGAGACCGAGTTTCTTTCAGGCAGACTGTGATGAGAGCGACGTTCTGTAAAGGACTTCTTACATGCTGATGATGATGATGATTCGGAGGATAGCAAATATCTGAACAATTACGCTACGCCGCCGTTGTGTAGCGGCTAGCCGCTCGTCAGTGGATCTGAAGGCCGTGAGTACAGGCACGTAGCAAAAATTCACCAAGTAAAACCATAAACAACCAATAAACGTTGGGGTTCGATTTACGGTGTTCTGTAAAAAAAAAAGGACATGCAACTAAAAAATCTGAATACTGTGAATGAACTGATCCGTTTTTTTTTTTTTTTAGTACATTATTTACTGCTGACCTATTCCAAGTTTTCTTCACTTCCGGTTTCTAAAGTCAAACATGGAAGAAGGTCAGCCACGGTACAGCACCGAGATTTCTGATGAATATAGGTTTAAATATAAACAGAAGATTCCTCGAACGCCTGGTCTTTTCTATGGCGATGATAGGGAAGTGATATTTAAAACTATGAATGCTTTGACTTATGGCGCAATCACAGGTATGTGACAGGAGCGTGTTCGTGTCGTGTTCAGCTTTAAATACTAAATTTGTATAAAGAAAAGATGTCTCTTAATAATTATAAACTTATATTATTAGTTTGTTTCAGTTTTGTTTGTTTTCTTCTTCTTCGCGTTTTGTTTACCAGCTGTACACTCTGGTGGAAAGTTCTGGTTGCTCGTCCACTACTGAACTGCAGTCCTGCTCCAGAACCTGAGTGTTGCGTGTGCATGTTTTACAGATCTCATTCTCTTTAATACAGACTGTTGGTTTCGTGCCTCTCCGGCAGATGTACTCCGACTTCAAAGGAAGCTCCCCAATTAGTCAACCCTTACGACATGCTTTTGGAGAGGGTTTGTCTATTGTCTTTCAACAAATAAAGGGAGCTGCAGTAGCCTAATGCCTCGAGTAGTGGCTAGACCGTACTAGACGCTTGCCTGTCACCTTGAAAATCTTGGGTTCGAATCTGCATCGTGAAGTGAAGGATCCTTATTTTTATTTTAAATTGACCTTGGCTCTGTCAGATTGACCCATTACCAGGTAAAGCTCAGTTATGGGGAGTATAAAACCTAAATAAAGGCGTTGACTTGATGTTGACCACATCCCACATCGGTTCATCTCTGAGACTGGGTCCAGCAATTTGTGATTATATATCCAATACACCACAGGGCTAAGAAGAGCCATCTCAGTCACATTAAGTAATGGCAAATGGCGCTAATGGTGATGTGACAAATTTTACTAGTAAAGTAAAGCAAGATCTCTGAGCATTAAGAAGTCTTCCATTAAGTCAGATTAAGCATCAGATTTCAGGATTTCATGTCATATCATGTATTTCACTATTTCACTTGCTTCTTAACAGATACTGAGCTATAAACTTACTTGCAGTCATTTTTCATTATTATATTCGTTAATATAAACTAAAAGATTTTAAAAAGATGATAGGGGTAGAAAAGGGGGGGGGGGGGGAATAATACATAATGTTACATTGTAGAACAAAGGTGAGGTGAAATAAGGACAGGAAGATGCTGAATTAAATTATGATGATAATTACAGTAAATTGAGGGATGATTGTAAGTAAATTAAAGAACCTTGCAGTAAGTGGTGTATGCTTTGACCGATTAGCACTCTGCTGATGTGTTACTAGCACCTACTTTAGATTCAGTTGAAATGGGATTCTAAATTACTTTTAAAACATGTGTGACCTAAATGGAAAATACACATTTAACTAGTGGATAAACTGCACTACTTCAGGTTACTTTAACTTATAATAACAATTGTTTCGCCCCGAGAAGCTGAAAATTCAGCACTTCAGGTAGTCTCCAGACCCCCGTAAATGCCACTCAACTGGCATTTCTACAGTGATGTGATTACGAGATGCCTAGTTAACTTCATTGATTGTGTTTGCACATGCATATTATTTAGGAGGTCAGGGTATAAATATATTTACTAAAATTAGTATTTAGAAAAATTTTCTGTTGATTAGAATAGCTATTTTAAAGCCATTGTGACATCATAATTTCTCAGTGAAGGTTACTGTTAATATTCTGATAAGGTCACAGATTTAGCTACCTGATGCATGTTTTAGGCCCAAGGAAATAAATCCAGTTAATTCTTACCTCCATTCATGTTTATTAGTCTCTCTTCTTCATTTTGTCTGGCAGAAACTTTTAAACATGTATAAGTAAAGGACCCTTTTCCATGCTTTCAGGGGTATTGGGTATATAGGGCTAGACCTATATTTTAAAGACCAACGGCACAAGATGGGTGATGTGGTCAGCATCACGCCAGCCGACTTTACTTTCCAGTCAAGGCTGGGTCGACCTGGGAGCCAAGGTCATTATAAATAAATTTTTGTATTAATTGTTAGTACCATATAAAAATAGTTGCTCATTTGTGGGGGGGGGGGGGGAGTGTGCAGAATAATGAATGCTTTTCACATTTTTGGTGATAGGGTTAAGTAAAAGTGAGTAAATGACTTTTTTTTTATGCCAGTGGCACATCAGGAATATGATGCTGGTTTTATATATATACTATTCAGACTTCCCAGGAAATTTCCTTGTACCTATTTTAGGCTGGGTTGACCTAGGAGTCAATATCATTTATCTCACAAATCCACCCACTGGGGAATTGAACATGAATAAGATGAATATGGCAAAAATTTATGACTGCATAGCAAGTATTCTGCCTTCTGTGCCCCTGGGCCCAATGAGGATTAATTGATTGGAGAACAAGTTTGAACAGCAGTAATGTTCCATTACATTGCAGCAATAAACAGATTAAGATGAAAGTTAAAATAGTCATTTCTCATTAACTCTTTGAGTCCCAGGGGGCTTAGCACCACAGGCCCAGGGGGTAGTAAAGAAAGTAATAAAATCGGCGCATCATGCATTCATTGGGCTTCTAGGTAGGAGCCTTTGAACGTATGATGCTTTCCTTGGGACTCAAAGAGATTAAGTGACAATAATAATGTAATGAATGTGTTTTCCATTTTGACGCAATCCGTCTCCACTTACACAAGCAGATTATGTCAGCTGGTATGGCTTTCTTCTGCTCACTAATGTTCTGCAATGATGTCTCAACCTGTTCTATACACACTGACGCACACTTGCAACAACTTGCCAAAGTAAAATTGTCCTTATCTGATTACTGAGGATTTTATGCTTGAGGGTCCGTGAAACCAGCGCAGGGTCTACTAGCATCCAAGGAGATGCTAGAAGAGAGGTTTATAGACTAGTGCTGATCCTAACGACAACATTAATCATTTAAAAAGAAGGGACCAGGCCACCATCTTCAGACTCAAAGACAAAAATACTCCACTCAGTGGACATCTAAACAAAATACAGCCACAACACTCCACAGAGTGCCAGCTATGTAGCTACTCCTACGAAACTGTTGACTATCATATCTTTGAGTGCCAAAAACTCGAGACTAGAAGAATTTTACTCGCTCTGAGACCAGACAGGTGGAACACCTTGTAAGGAGGAAAAGAACAGCTTATTAAAAGATGTAAATTCCACTACATGGCATTGGGCAAAAGGGCGAAAGCTCATGCGCCGCTGGATCAATAACAACAACCAAGGTGAGGTACTGGAGTATCCTCTTTTACATAGCACAGCAGACGTTTTTCCCTCATGCCTGTGATCGAAATCACTGCAACCCAACATGTTTGATTATAATGTAGATAAAAAGAATTTGACTGTCATAGTGATTTGTTTTGTTGCATATCAACTCCTTGCTCAGTACAGTCAACATTGTTTATCCCCAGGAACTACGGCAGCTTTATTCGTGATCACTAAGGAGGCTCCCTTAACCAATATACCCTATAAGACTTTTAGATATGGACTACCCCATAGTAAGTATACAGTTACTAAATAGTGCAGTAGCACAGATAATAAATGAGTGGTGTCATAATTTGTGTATGTGCAGAAATGTGAAGATGATTAAACTGTTACAATTATTGTATTGTAATTTAATTTTAAAATAAATCAACAACGTGGTAATTATTTTACTGTGCAGAAAGATGGAAATTGAAAACCAGCTTTTTCTTCATTGGCTGTAAACCGGTGGAAAGTTCTGGTTATTTGTTCACTTCTTGACTGAAGTCTTCTTCCAAAACTTGAGTTTTTCCTGCAAATCCATTGTGCAGCTCTGGTTTATTTGTGAGCAGACTGTTGGTTCCTTGCCTCTCAGGCAGATGCACTCAGACTTTGAAAGAATCCTTAAATTTGTCAGCTCTGATGACATGCTTGTTAGGGAGGCACTGGGCTTATTCCCTTGACCTACTTGGGGAGAAAACCAGTATGATCATTATTGCATGGTATAGAAACAGTGGAAATCAATAAACAGTGTGATCATTATTGTATCATGCAGAAACATGGACGTTAAATAAATAATGGGGTAATTGTTATATTGTTGTTTGACATGGAAAATTAATAATGTGATGATTTTGAATGATGAAGAAGCTTGGGCAGGGAATAAACAGTAAGGCAGTTTTTGTATGTTAAATTCACATAGGCTTGAATAAACAACATGACAGTTGTATGGGCAGAAAGGATGTGCTCAGGGGAAATGTGAAGGGGAAATGTGTTCATGAAGATAAGATTACAAGTGGGTGGGCATTGTAGAGAGATGGGCGAGAAGGTGTCTCACCAGGTTGCTTGTTGGCTGTCATTGTCTCAATAAATGTTTATATATAGCTGAAGTATAATGTTAATTATTTCTAGGTTGGTTTGTTTGTTTGTTTTCAAATTAAGTGGTTTCCAGGGTCCCATTTTAAGGGAAGACAAAATGGACCCCTTGACCCTTTCACCCGTTGACCTATAAAAAACATGTCCAGTATTCTGTAAGCCGGTATTTGGAGAATTCTTTCGGGGGGTTGGGGGGGGGGGTGTATTACATGTAAACAATTTTTTTACACAGGTTTTAAAAAAAATCACAAGCCTCTATTTTTGGACCGAAATAACAAAAGATAACATGCAGATAAGAGGGCAGTAATCAGTAAGAAATGAATGCGGCAGAGAATTAACTGGCTTACGTCTCTTAGAGCCTTGAAAAAACAGTAGAGGGGATACATTTATCATCATCAAATATCTTGCTAACTGGCATGGGCGGTCAGGGCTTTCCACAGCTTGTGATCTCCAACATGTATCAGTTAATTTGTTGACACCTTTTCTTGCCATGACAAAAAGCTGTCAAGATTTATGTCAGGGTGCAAAAATTAGCCAGCTCTGTACTCTGTAAAGCAAATTTGATGTAAAACTCAACTCCTGGAACAAGACTAAAGTCCAAAAGTAGATGAACAACCAGAACTTTTCGTCAGAGTTTACACCTGGTAAATGCTGAATAAAGTCAGATTTACTTGAGAGTAAAGAAGTAGATGAGCAACCAGAACTTTCTATCAGAGTTTACACCCGATGAATGCTAAATAGAATAAGATTTACTTGAGAGAAAAGAAGTAGATGAGCTACTAGAACTTTCTGTCAGAGTTTACAGCTGGTAAATGCTAAGAATGAGATGATTTACTTGCTTCACAGTTAAGCTGTAGAGTGTACAACCTGACAAGATACAACAAAATCTGCTGGGCAGTAAATGTTGTCTAGTTGTGTTTTCATTGAAATTTCCGCAGGGGAAACATTGATTTGATGTTTTCTTGGCAGTTTTGGTTGGAGCAACCTACGGTGTAACAGCTGGTTTGGTGGCCAAGGTGAGAGGCAAAAGTGATGGATGGAACCACCTTTGTGCAGGCTTGGTTAGTGGACAGGTCCTGGGTAGCTTTTGTAAGTAAATATTTTCTGGTTATGGATGGATAACCATTATTGTACATAGATAATTTTGTAAATGTCTCAATATGCTCCTAAAGGCCATGTTCAGTCAGTCAGCAAGTCCTTTACAGAAGGCTGTTCTCTTCACTTCTTTTTCTCCTCTTTCTCTTCCACTTTGTACCTCAGTGAAGTGTCGGGGGGAGATGTAACATTCGTTGATGAGCTTTGTCAAGAGCACTATTAAGACTGATGTTCATTTCAGTAAAGCTGTTCATAATGCCATTACTCCATATTTTCTGAGGTCTTCCACTTGCTCTATACCTGTTGTAAGGTTTTAGTGTGGCTCGCTGTGGCAGATAGTGCCAACACATTCTGGTTAGGTGTTCAAACCACTTCATTTGTTGTTCTTTGATGGCTTGTAAGACTGGCTTTTTTCCTAGCATTTTCTCTTCACTACACGTCTGAAAGTCTCTTTTTCTCTAGTCAGTTCTCCCACCCGGTATACTTCTAGAGTCTGTGCATCTTGCCTTGTATCCACCTTCATAGAGGTCAGCCTCTGCATGTTTCCCCAGAATCTGCACCCTTCACCACCATTTTCTCTTCAGGCTACTGTGGCGCTTGACATGTTCAGCATATCTCAGATTTAGGAAGAGGTTTATAAGCCAGTTCTCCTCGATGGTCAGATCATGCAGCTTGTCTGCATTTGTCTTCTTCTTGGTCAACAGTATTCTAAGAACATTTCTAGGTCATGTTAGAAATTTTTTTTTTCAGTGCATAAACCCCATAGCAACCAGCATTTGTCATCATCATGTGCTCTTTTGGTAAGCTCAGGCATTCATTTTTCACCATGTCACATATCACCAGAATCACAGATCAAAACTCTCAAATCAAGATGGCCATGCCATCCAGGAATTTATCTTTTTTTGCCTTCATCTTGCTCTTTTGTCCATCAGTCTTACCAGTTGTAACTAAATTCTAGTCTTTTCCTTCCCATTAATGGTCCAAAATACACTGACTGTCTAAGTCTAATTTCTCTAACTAGTTTATTTACTATTCTTGGACTATTCTTATAAAAGGTATTTAGCCATTGCTTTCCTTCTTGGCAATGACCGTACCGATTAAGCAACCATAGCCAGTTTACTTTTGGTTGATCGCCTGCTTATCGTCCTGGATTTTGAGTTAATAACCAACAACTGTCAGCTGCTCCCAAGCTTAGTCCACCACCTGCTGCCATGACTTCACGTTCCCCTGAGCTCAACAGATAAAAGTAAAGGACCCTTTTCCACGCCTTTAGGCGTATAGGGCTAGACCTATATTTTTTATAGACCATCGGCACAAGATGGGTGATGTGGTCAGCATCATGCCGGCCGTCTTTACTTTCCCTGGACTGCACCCGGTACCCACTCAAAGCTGGGTCGACCTGGGAGCCAAGGTCATTTTTGAAATAAGTCAGACTCCGCCAGGGAGCCAACCCACGATCTTCTGATCCGCGGCGAGCGTGTAGCCGCTCGGCCACGGTGACTCCCGAGCTCAACAGATAAGACTATTATTTCTTTCTTTCACTACAGACAAAAATGTGTCCTTGCTTTGTTGGTATTGTGAAAATATCCCCTTGTTCTAATTCTTTCACTTCAGGCAAAAATGAATCATTTGGTCATTGACACAGTGAAAAATATTTTTTTCTTCTTTTAAACGACAAAAATAAGGTGCGTCATTGCCGTGTTAAATATGTTTATACTTTGTTCTGTTTCTTTCACTACAGAGAACATTATGGCATTGTGTTGTTATTCCAGTGAAAATGTTTGTTTTATTTCTATAACTACCAAAAAAAAATGTGTCATTGGCATATTAAGAATGTTTATACTGTGTCCTTTTTTTCACTGCGGAGAAAGATGGGACATTATGTCTTTGGCACTTCCTGTGTGGGTTCTGCGGCTCTATTATAGGGAAACCAAGACTAGACCCACTGCCTACCCAAAAGCATGTCCTAAGAGTCGACTGATTAAGAGCTTCCGTCAAAGTGCATCTGCCTGAGAGGCAAGGAACCAGCAGTTTGCATACAGATGAGTCAGGGCAGTGAAACGGATGCACACATAACACACAGGTTCTGGAACAGGACTGCAATCCAGAAGTGGTCAAACAACCAGAACTTTCTGCCAAAGTTTACACCTGGTGAATGCGAAGAAGTTGGAGTCTTTGGCACAGTAAAAATTTGGTTCTATTCAGTTTTTTTTTTTTTACCCACAGATAAAAGTGTGTTGATTGCTCGTTGGTTTTCAGCCACCTTTGCTACACTTGGATTCTTTATCAAGGAGTTTGCAGACAATGATAGGTTTATCACTGACATCGGTCCTGCTAATTTGCCTTTCCTCAACTTTAGTGAGCTTAGTTTGTTCACCAAACGACCTCCCCGTGAAGGAGTTAAAGACAGTAGTTAGAATGGCTGAAGTGAACACAGAAACCTGACCTGTGTTGAATGGGTGCCTCTTTATGACTTAGCTTATATAGCCAGTGAAATGTTTATTTTGTAGCAACATTTTTGTTGTTTGCTTTTCTCTTTCTTGTGTGGGTTCCAGAGACCTATTTTGTATTTTAGGCGGGGGAGAAAGAAACGATCTGCTGCCCCTTAACAAGTATGTTGTAAAAGGTGACTGATTTAAGGTTTTCTTTAATGGATATTGTTGGAATGAAAGGCATAGATACCACAGCCTAGCTTTAAACCACAACGCAATGCGCCAGCCACCTTTTTCAGGGCAGATGCAGTTGTTGTTTACCCTGTGTTAACTAAAATAATAATGTGGTTTCCTAGAAGAATGATCATACCCTGGTTAGATTTTTTTTTTTTATAATAATATTCTTGGAAGAAACTGACTCACAGAGAGAACTGATTGATTGCCTACATCAGAGGGAACCGAGAGAGAAGATGCTCGATAGTTTGACATCATGGCATGGAGGACCATTAGTGTCAGATTTGACCAAAAATACACGAGACACAAGGTTCTGGATAGAAATGACTACCAAAGCCACACATCATGGACCATAAGAACAAGAATGGAGATAAAATAATTTCTTTTAGTGTGTTGTAGACATCTTAATCTATGTTCCTTAAAAGAATTTCTTTCCACAAATACATTTGAGCAGCACCTAGGTTTTTATTGTTTTATGTCTTCTGTTTGTATGGTAAAATCTGTCGTTGTTTATAATTGTATTTCTTTGGATTAACCAACATTAAATGTTTGTTAACCTTTGAAAGGATTGTGTTTTCAAATAAACAAAGAAGACAAACCTAGGATTGTTTTGGGTGTTTGTTCTATGATTGAATAACACACCACACCATTGTTGTTTATATTTGTATTTGTTTGGATTAACCAACATCAGATGTTATTTCCTGTTAGTCTGCTGTAGTTATCCTAATGTGTAACTTTTGAAAGGATTGTTTTCAAATAAACAAGGGAGAAAAACATAGGATTGTTTTGCGTGTTTGTTCTATGATTGAATAAAATAACAAACTACACCATTGTTGTATATAAATATACTGGAGCAGACGGAAATCATAATTTAGACTGATTTATATCTTTTTATTTCTGGTTTTTTAAGTAAGTAAAATAAAAGTAAAGACCCTTTTCCACCCTTTAGGCATATAGGGCTAGACCTATATTTTTATAGACCAATTGGCACAAGATGGGTGATGTGGTCAGCATCACGCCAAGAGCCTTTACTTTCCCGGGACTGCACCCTGTACCCACTCAAGGCTGGGTCGACCTGGGAGCCAAGGTCATTTTTGAAATCATCCGGCTCCGCCAGGAAGCGAGCCCACGACCATCCGATCTGCAGTGAGCGTCTAGCCTTCTGTTTTTTTTACTGGCTGTAAACTCCATGCAGTTTACATTCTGGTTGTTTGTCCACTTTTGGACTGTGGTCCTGTTCAGGGTTTACAAAGGTATCTAAACTATTCCTGTTCTTGAGTTCCAAACTCAGTTTGATTTTCTAGTTGCTTGTTCACTGTTCAAGTTGCTGCACCACACAGCAGGGGTGAGTATACATAACAGTTTCATTTTTAATATGTTCTTGATCCCTCTAGATGTCAGTGATTTTTGCATCTTGTTGAAGATCATTTTAGCCATTCCTGTTCTCTTTTTTTATTTCTGTTGCACTTCTGCCACCATCTGTTATTATGTTTCCAAGACAAGATAACCTTGTTAATTGTTCCAGTATCTCTCTCCGTTTACTGTAATATTCATGTTTGGTTTGTGTTTTCCATAACATTGAACATTGCACTATCAGATTGTTTATTATTCTTTCATAAATTGTCAGTATTCAGTCCAGACAGTTCTGCAACTTGTTTAAAAATATTTCTTTATCTTAAGTTGAAAAGGCTTGGAGATAACACACATCATTGGCATACTCCACTTTTTAATCTTTGTCTGTGGTTAAACCATATTGATATATCTAACTTGTTGTTTGTTTCCAATTTAGGTTACTAATAATTCTGAAATCTTTTTCATCTAATCCTGTATTTTAGAGGAATGCAATTAGCTTTTCACTTTGGACCCTGTCAAAGACCTTCTTGTCAAATTAGAGAGAAGAACCCAAGGTGCTTTATTAATATCTTGCCCACAGATGACGTCACAGGACAGTCCAACATATTAGAGGGTTGTTGAGACTGGGTTTCCCAGCTTTCTTATGCTTTTAACGACCCCAAAACATCTAAAACTGGCCCTAACACCAACCCACGAGAGAGTGCACTCTAGGTCCCACGAATGCATGCAGCCTATCCACACCCCCCCCCCCCCCTTGAAATATTGGACTGTCCTGTGACCTGTGGATTTCCCCTGTTTAGGGTAAGATAATAAGATAAAGCAGCAAACCAACATAATAAATAACATATGAAACCATGAGAGCCCAACAAACCTGCATCAAAAACAAAACACAAAAATGACAAATTATCCAATAAACCACAAGCAGCAGCTAAAGTAATTAACATAATCCTTCCATTTATTAACATGTTGCTCGACCACGAAGGGGGGGAAACCCAAAACAACCGAGGATTTGAACCTGAGACTACTGCATGAGCCCTGCGTTCATAACCCTGTGGCCAGCCACTCCTTTTGTCTTACTAACAAAACTACTTCAAAAACATTAAATTGAGCGATAATCCATTCACACGCAACCGGCAGCTATAGGCATTTATTGACTTGACCCTTCGTAATGATGTAGATGGCAATCTGGTTGATATAGTAACCTCAACAGGTAGTTAATTCCTTAAAAATGTTTCCAGCCCTCATGGATTCCTCTTGAGGGGGGTTTAAGTCACATAACTAACGAGTTAGGCCAGAGCAGCTAACAACGATTGCTTAAAAGAAGCTAATGAAAGCAGATCTCTATATACGACGATAAGGAGGACGCAAACACTGTTCTTTGGCCACATAATGAGAAGAGAGACATTAGAGAACATCGTGGCAACTGGAAAACTCAGTGGAAAAGGGGTAGAGGCAGACCAAGAGAGACGATGTTGGATGGGCTAAAACGATAGCATGGAGGGATAACATCAAGAGAGATGTTCCCGACAACCAGGGATCGTGATCTTTTGAGACGCATGAGCGCCTACGCCAGTTGGCAGGGCACATGATGATGATTTCTTACACACTGCAGGGCATTTGAGCATTTTCTTTCAAACTGAAATTTAAAACTACTGTTATTTTGTAACTCGTTTCCAATTTCTAAGAAATGCAGTTGGTCGGACGTCGAGGTACATATGTTTTGTAGCAAGGCGCTGTCGACATTCGTTGGTGACAGGTTCGATGCATGGTATTTATCGTATTGGTGTCTATGTTTATGATGTCTGATGTCACCTGTCCCTCTGTTTCTTTCTGTGAATATATATATATTAGTTCTGTATCCGTTGCAGAACCAATCCCAGCATTTGTGTGTGTGTGGCTGTTGTGGTTTTTCTAGGCAAATTTACGTTCAGCAGTTTTCCGTTGTCGGCTCTGTGGCAAAGTCGATGCGAACGCTTCGTAATGCCGGATTCGATTCCAGCTGTGGGCCATGCGCCTTGCGTTGGTTTCGACAGTGGTATCAAGAAAGCCGACCGTCCAGGAAGCAATGGCAAATTACTGGACGTAAATTTGCCTAGAAAAACCACACAACAGCCAGGGGCTGTTGGGGTTGGTTCTTGAACGTCCTGTAAAGGATACGCAACTAACCTAAGTTTTCCGTTGCTCACTCAGCGGTCGGTTCTGTGTCCAAACCAACGCCAGAAAACCTAAAGCTGGGATCGAACCCGGCACTCTGGCATTGCTAAGCCTTTCTATGAGTATCAATATATTGTCAGTTTGTTTAAAAATAATTGTGTGATCAGGCACAACGTTTTAAGGTGCCAAGGCTATCGAGGCTAAACTCCAGCAGTCATCTTCCCACCCCCTTCTGACAAACTAAATGAATACCTGGGTATTTCAGTGGAATAAATTAGATTATGTTAGATATACCCTGATATCACAGACAACAGACGTTAACTGGTTAGGTCTAAACTATAAAATAAATATGTGCAGTGTGGTCGATCAACCAGTCAGGTCCTTTTTAGGACATTTTTTGTTATTTGAAGCCCCACCCTGGCTTTCACTAGGGGCCGCAATATAGTATACATAAATATGGCCAATTGTCTGAACGCGGTTTCTGGGACCTTTCCACGGCGATTCTCATCCGCATGGTGGCACTTTATGTCATCGGGTGTTTATCGCTTGTTTGATGTCCTGGTGGGGTAGAAAGTCAGTCACTCTTATAAAATATGTGTGTATGAATAAAGATAATTACAACTCTGAACCTAATGAAATTAAAATATTCAACTGATAACAAATAAAGTTCATCCTCAAACTCTTTCAAGACCCGGGAGTTCCTCCTGATGACTAAGCAAGGCAATAAGAAAGCCTCCACATTCCTTGAATTCTGCTTCCACGCCGCTATCCTCTTTTATTGTTTTCCCCCATCCTTTGTGCTGCGTAAGCCCAAGCTTATCTTGACACGCGATTTACGAACCCATCTGTGTAAATGGCGTCTTCTGGGCGTGAATGCTGATCAGTTAGTGCCCTAATCTCGGCATTCCTGCAGTACCTGCCCACTGTTATGACAACCTTAGACAAATCATGTGTGGGAGGTTCCAGGTTCAGGCTCCGGTGAAGGCTGGGATTTTTTCACTTGGACTTGGACTTCTAGTAATTCCCCCTGGTCTCTGGGTGGTTAGTTTGGACGCCCGTGTGCATTGTTGCGCAGGTAATAAAAAAAATCCCTTGGCCGTTGGAAATCGAAAAGAGTAGCCTAACCGCGCTGCCCGGGCAAAATTTGGAGTTTAAAATCTTTCCAAGTATTTCATGATCCTCGCCGGTGCTACAGAGCACTGTGCACTGTGCTGAACTTCTTTGGACTCAGACTTGAGTTAGAA